TGGATAAGCATTCTAGTGTAGTCTAGTGTAGTGTAGGGACATCTCGACTACACTACACTAGAATACTTATCCACGGGAAAGAATAACTGCGGTATGGCGGGAAAGGGTTGGCGGGAAGGGATTGGCGGGAAAATAAGGCGGAAACGGATTGACGGGAAAATAAGGCGAGAACGGATTGGCGGGGAGGGGTTGACGAGAAACGGGTGGCGGAAACATATGGCGGGAAGGGGTTGGCGGGAAACGGGTGGCGACAAAATACATTTCAGCATGAGCCATGCAACTTCGGTCTAGGGTTGACCAAAAATTGACTTTTCGGCCTAGACTTGACCAAAAAGTCTATTTCGGCCTAGTGTTGACCAAAAAGTGCCTTTTCGGCCTAAGTGTGGCCGAAAAGTACTACTTCGGCCTAAATGTGGCCGAAAAGTACTACTTCGGCCAAAGAATGGCCGACAGGCTACTAGTTTTGGTTTTTTTGCATTACGTCCTATAGTTTCCGAATTTGCTACAAAAAACATGATAGTTTTGAAAAAAAAACCGATTTAAATTAGCACATCCTAATTGTAGATGGTCTTAGCATCACTAATAAGAGCTGGCAAGGTTTAATATTCACTAGCATATCCAAACTTTCTACAAATGCACATTTTGATAGTCTTTTGATTTGGTTGTAACTATTCCCGTATTTCCTCAAGGTGTCAGAGAGATAGAACCATGACGCAGTTTTCCCTAACCTAGCCGCCACCTCATGAAGGTGACTAGGGAGGCGATCCTCTACCTTCGATCTACACCAGCCAGGGCCGGTCCCCTCTCCTTCTGCTCTGTAGTTAGGGTATCGTTTTGTAGGTCGTGGTGAGCCGTTGGGGTAGTGGGAACGGCGCCCGAGCGAATAAATCTGCCTCAGCCCCACTCTCACACCGGCGGTGTCCTTCATGGCGGCGTCTCGAAGTTGATGGCATCACGTGTTTGTCGATCCTTCATATCAGCAGCATTAGTGTTCATGGATGGTGTTGGCGAGGCAGCGACAGCGACCCTTTCATGTGTGTCTCCCCTTTTGCTCTGTCCATCTTACTGTGGCGTTGTCTCCGACGTCACGATGGAGCGGGGAGGTTTTGGCGTCTTGGAGTACGCGCAGACGGTTGTCTATGCAGGCGATAGCTGGAAGAAGGTGCATCCTGTGTTGGGTTGGTGATTGGAGGATGGCAGTTTTGGCTTCCTTCTCCGACGTCGTAGTCATGCGGGGGATGTCAGTTATGGAGTTCGATAGCATGTCTGGGGACACGTTGCCCTGATCTGATTTTTTCAACGGCAATGGTTTTGCTTAAGGCAAACTACTTTGGAGGTTCGTAAAGCTGTTGATCAGCGATGGAGCTGCGTCCAGTTCGGATGAAGAGGTGATTTGTCTTCTTTTTCCCGGTGAAGAGGGACATGCATCGGTTTTTTGCGTAGGATTATCCTATCTTTTCGGTCCTGTGATGTCGGTGTTTGTGTGGCTTGTAACAAAAATTTTACTTTATTAATAAGACTAGTATTATCATTATCATGAAAAAAAAGCGAGATAGAAACACTGCAATTCACAAAACTACTATGAGCATACTCCTTCAAAGTGGCAAAAGGAGCATATTACGTCGATTAACACGATTTCACGATGGTTCACACAACTGCTGTCGGTTCACAGATTCAGATACAATGCCCTTGTTGAAAGTAAAACCATCTGAAGCTCACCATGAATCAGCAGCAGCTTTCTCTTCAGCATTAGCTGCAGAGAGATTCATCGACGAAACTATCCCAACAGGCTTCAGTCATCGTCAAAGAAGCAGGCCATGGCGAGGTCCGGTCACCACGCATCATCTGCGGCTGCTCTGGCATTGGTACGCATGCGCTCGAACGCCTCGGCGGGCACCGAGAGGGGCCCAGCGCGCGCCTGCCACCTCGCGCCGTGCCGCCCGGCCTTGCCGGACACGTCCTCGACGGCCTTGAGGAACTCCTTGGCCTGCGCCAGCGTGAGCACCTCCTTCACGGCGGCCTCCACGGCGCGCCACCGCAGCTTGTCGGCGCGCCGCGCGGCGCGCGCCATCTTGCACACCTCCTCGGCCGCCGTCTCGGCGAACCCCTCCTTGGTCTTCTCGCACGCCAGCTTCATGGCGTAGGTGGACTGGTACTCGGCCACCTCGCCGTCCAGCGCGGCCTCGCGGGCCTGGAGGCGGCGCCTGGCGGCAGAGAGCGCATGCGACTGGCGCTCGTTGGAGGGGAGGAAGAGGTCGCCCTCGGACTCGCTTGTTCGCAGGGACGGGAACAGCGCCGGGAGGAGGGCGAGGATGCAGGACGGGCGCAGGTCGCCGCCGAGCCAGGAGAGCGCGGCGACGGCGAGCGGCGGGTCGTCCGTGCGGGCGACGAGGGCGGGGACGTCGCGCGGGCGGACGGGCGGGCCGGCGGCGAGGCGGGAGTAGCGCAGGCGGAGGCGGGCGAGATCGGCGGTGATGTCGGTGGCGGCGGCGTTGTCGCTGTCGCTGGAGTCGGAGGAGAGGAGGCGGCGGTGCGCCATCGGGTCCACCGCCCCGGGCGCTGGTCGGAAAGAAACGAGAAAGAGGCACGAATCAGCGAAGCAAGAAAGCCAAGAAATCGGCGCCATGGACTAGAAGAGAGCCGCCATGAAATCCTTCTTGGACAAGAAAGGGAGGGGAAGCAATTACAGAAGGGGGTGAAGCAGGGGAGGCAGGAGAAGATGCCCTTGTCCTTCTTGGCGCTCTTCCCGCCGGTGCCGCTGCCGCCGCCGCGGCGGTACCCGGCGTCGTAGCCGTAGTAGTAGTCGTCGGCGTCGTCGCCCGGGAGGGGGCTCAGGAACGGCATTGCAGCGCGGTGGGTGCGTGTGACCTGCGGAGACTGGGGGTGGGAAGGTGGCTTCTGTTGGGTGCGCTGGTGGAGGAGGCGAGTTTGAAGGTGCTCGGCCGAGACCCGTCCCGTCGGCGCTGAACGCCGGGGGAGCAACTTGTCGATCAGCGCTTCAGGCGCGATCGCTGACCGTTAGATTGAGATCCAACAGTCACAGATCAACAGAGCTGAGGATTGATGTTCCACTGCGTATTTTACTGAACAGGAACTTGTGACCGGATACGAAAAGAGGAACATGAACAATAGATTCATAGATTTCTGCGGTTCATGAACACAAGATGTTCATAAGACCATACTGTGAAAGGCTAAGTGATTGACTGATTGTGTGTGACATAAAACCTTCATTGTGGAGAAACCCTAGCTGCCACAAAATCAATCTCCTCTCCCCTTTGCTTTCAGCCGCTGCTCCGACACCGTGAGGCGGAGGGAAGGGGATTCCCCTTGTCTCTCACCCTTTGTGTAGCAAGTTTTGTGTCTTAGTGATGTTGCTCTAACAATGCTATCAATGTCATTTTGAATAAAAGTCCTTCAACTCCAATCGTTTTTATTGGTGTTGCGTTGCTGAGGAGCTCCAGAGTTTTTGTGTCCCGGTTACTCTTTATGAAAAGTTGGTTGGTTATTTGTACTCCAGGTCGCGTGTTTTCATGTGCATCAACAACTGTAACACTATCTTCTTGGTTTGGCGGCCCCATCGCTGGTATGCTTGACGCGATTGCCAACCTCCATGTACGCGACGGTCTACTACTGTTATGATTTGTTGAGATTTCTTCCTCTATAGTTGCAGGTAGGTACTTCGTGGTTTGACTGGATTTGTCTTGATGTTGTCAATTGTGGGAAAGAGCTATGATGGTGTAACCGTGACAAATTTAGTTGCGACTTTGATAATAATTTTAAGACATATAGCCGTTTGCAGTTGCATCTTTGTTTAGGGTCCGCTCAATTACCTTGCATCTACTTGTATCCAACGTTCTATTGATCTATTATAAACTAGATTTAATATTATATTATAAAACATTAAAAGATTTAATATCCTTCCACTATCTCGACTCGCACCCTACACATATAGCGTTATGTTTGGACCCTGTTGTTGGAGTGCATGCTTGCTACATGGGACGTCGCTCTTGTATCTCGATATCAGTATAGTCACTCAACAGTCACATCCAAGCTGATGAACGGGCATGCCAGTGGTTCTAGCGTTGAGGTCAAGGCATCTCTCTTCATGGAGAGACAGCTGGACTCCAACTGCTTTCTAAAGCGGTACAACGTGGACAGTGATGATGACAGAGCCTGGCGGTGGGGACAGTCGTTCAATGACATTAACAAAAGGAAGAAAAGAGCGCATGAGCATGACGGGATGATTTTAAGACTGCTATTTTACTTGTGAGGAGCGCTAATACTCTTTGTGCTTTTTTTTTCAAAAGTACACCAAAAGTGTGTACCATATTTTTGTATAGGATAAAACTAGATTACGAGAGACCTATTGAAATGATGCCACAATATTCACTACATTCCTCTTTGATTCAAAGATTTTGCCCGCACAAATGCAGTATAATTTTTGGGATTCATTTGTCCAGCATTTTATAGTAAAAAGTTTTATCCACTCCAAGCTCATGTGAAGATTCCTACTTTCTTCGATTCATATTACTCGTCGCTTAAATAGCTCTATAGAGATGTATTTCAATACTACATACATTTATTTGTGGGACATGTAATATGGATGGAAGGGAGTATGCTATTTCCAAATCATGTACGTGAACTATTATAAATACTAGTACTACCGTTGCTTGTTGCTGTCGGTTAATTCTGTAAAGAAAAGGACCGGGGGATCCTACCAAGAAAACAAAGGGAAAGCGTGTTGACGATTTGACCCCTCCTCCGGCGCTGTCCCTCGTCGAAAATAAAGAAAGAAAGAAAGAAAGAGAAAAAGGGCAGCCATGTAGTGCTTCCCCTGCTTTCCCTTCTCGCAGCAGCAGATCACTAGCTCACTCCATGGTGGAGAGAGTGGTTGGTGGCCACTAATGGCGCGCCTCTCCTGCCGCCGCTTCCTCCTCTCGCTCCACGTCGCGCTGCTGCTGCTAGTCCCCTGCACCTGCCAGGTACCCGATTCGTCAGCCCGATCCTCTCCACGGTTCCGATTCTTGCGTGTTACCTACCTGCTGTGTCTCCCATCAAGTTCTTGTCCAGTTCGATCTAACCCTTCTTGATGCCTATAATTCCTGATGGCATGGCATGAGCATACTGTTCTTTTCTCCTTCTTCCGCGAGAGTGATACATGAACTGAATTTATCTCTCAGTGTCTGTTTCTTCCTAAAAGTGGTGCGATCTTTGAGGGAGCCTGAATTTACCGCTGGGTCTTGTTTGCAGGTCGGGGATTCGTGCTCGGCGGCCCGCGACTGCGGGGTGGGCCTCTACTGCGGCGATTGCGCCGCCGCCGGCCGGACGCGGCCGTCCTGCATCAGGGACCTGGCCATCCAGCCCACCTCCATCGTAAACTCTTGCATTCCCTTAAGCGCTTGCTTGTAGTATTACTCTGTCTGTGGCTTGTGTTCGGCAATTACTCATCTATCTTGTTCTTCAACCATGGGATGGGGCATGCTTGTTTTGTCCAGGTGAAGGGGCTGCCATTTAACAGGTACTCATGGCTGGTGACCCATAATTCATTCTCCATCGTCGGCGAGCCGTCACGCACCGGGGTTGAGAGGGTTACATTCTACAACCAGGAAGACACTGTCACCAACCAACTCAGGGTAACTACACTGAATACATGGGCCAATCTTTTTATTTATTTATTTTTTGTTTGGGGGTGGGGGGAGGTTATATTTTCGCGATTTTATAGGATGGGTGTTTTTAGTTTTTTTTTCTTTCTTTGATATAATGGTGTGTGCAGAATGGAGTGAGGGGATTGATGCTGGATATGTATGACTTCGGTGGGGATGTCTGGCTCTGCCACTCCTTGCAAGGGCAATGCTACAACTTCACTGCTTTCGTAAGTTCTGTTCTTTGCAGATACCAAACTAATTGACATTTCATTTCTAGTTAAGCCACCTCAAAATCTAATGAAGCTCGGTTATAATACTCCGTCAACTCGTATGTTAAATTCATGAACACAATGAACACGAAGACTTGTGTTGTTTTGTCACTCTTACGATTCTATTGTGGATAATATTGTTTCAGTGTGGTAATCAATTGGAACTAAAGAATGTGGGGAATGGAAGTTAATTGATTCCTTTCTGAATTCATCACTAACCTTGCGAGATGTATAGCTGTTAAGGCGACCAGACTCCTAATGTTCAAATGCAATGTGATTCTAGGAACCAGCAATTGACACGTTGAAAGAGGTGGAAGCATTTCTATCCGAGAATCCCACGGAGATTGTTACAATATTCATCGAGGATTACGTACATGCCCCGATGAGATTGAGCAAATTGTTTACTGCTGCTGACTTGATGAAGTATTGGTACCCTATCTCAGAAATGCCAACGAGTGGGCAGGAGTGGCCCACCGTCACAGATATGGTTGCAAAGAACCACAGGTTGCTTGTGTTTACTTCCGATGCTTCAAAGGAGTCTAGCGAAGGAATAGCTTACCAGTGGAGTTATTTGCTGGAGAATGAGTGTAAGTATGGCTTTCTGGGCTTTATTGAAAAAAACAGAGGTTCTATCGATTCTAGGTAGCGATAGCTATACCACAATTTGCAAATCTAAAACCCAAAATACAAATTTCTTCTTGGCTTTCTATGTCTTGAGATAGCCTACCCCAACTTGTTTGGGACTAAAGGCTTTGTTGTGTTGTTTCTTTGTCTTGAGAACCTTGTTTAACATCCATTTCACCTTTCAACTTATAATATATTGGACCATGAGAGTCTCGTGTGATTAATTTACTCCAAAGATGACTATGAGCTGAACATATTCTGATTTAGAACTAAGTTAAGAGCTAATTGTGTAGTTTTTTCATTTCCCTGTTAAGAGCTAATTGTGCTAGTTGTCCTTTCTGGGATATTCGGTATTTTTTATTTACTCATGTGCTAGTTACACAAGAAGAGAAGGGATCAACCCTCCCTTGAGTGATCCACATGATCCACATTAGATGCTTGATGAATTAAGAACCACCTCGATTGTTTTTGAAAAATATTCATGCTGTTTTGGTGCTTAAACCAATAAAAAAGATTGCACCACAAGTGAATGTTTTATATTGTACTGTATCATAATATACATTATCTGATCAGTATTTGCTTCTTAAGACATTGATCCGGAGTTATTTTGTATGCAAGATTTGTGTTCTCCTACAAATTTGCTCTCATAGGAGTTTTATACTGGTAGTCCTGTGGATATATCACTCAACTTGCACTTAACTCTAATTGATTTATCTTGAGTACTTTACTAATTTTCTGAGCACAGATATATAGCTCTTATATTTTATTCATGTTTACATTTTATTTCCCGTGATCATGACAGCTGGAGATCCGGGTATTGACCCTAGCGCTTGTCCAAACAGAAAGGAATCACAGCCACTAAACTCAAGATCTGCGTCTCTATTTATGCAAAATTATTTCCCCACAATTCCTGTTGAGAGTGAAGCATGCAAAGAGAATTCTGTTGGACTACCTCAGATGGTCCAAACTTGCTATGCTGCAGCTGGAAATAGAATCCCGAACTACATAGCTGTGAATTTTTACATGGTAATATAATACTTTATGCCCAGTTCAGACAAATAAAAACAAGATTTATCTGGTATCGAATGTAAGTATGGAACTGTTCTTAATGTGACATGCGCAGCGAAGCGACGGTGGTGGTGTTTTTGATGTTCAGGACAGAATCAACGGCCTTACGCTATGTGGTTGCAACACCATTGCTGCTTGCCAGGTAATTGTGAAGACATAAATTTTCTGCCAACAAAAAACTGTAGTCCCAGAATTTGGTGTAAATTCGCATTAGCTTCAGAACATGTTTTCCAACCAG